GGCTGGTGCAGTTGATTGGTCGCAAGGGCCATTCACTGCGGAGATGCAGTGGTTCAATTTTACGCCATATTGCTAGACATCTGTTCTCTTGTAGCCCATCCTTTTTGTTGGTTATCGTTTTTTTTTTCTATTTTCTATCTGTTCACAGCGTGGTTTTTTCTGTAACATGATTTAATTAATAAATTTTGATTCAGTTTGTTTTGAACATTGATTCTGGTCTGATAGGAGGAGAAGCAGCTGGACGACACGGCGTATAGGAAAAACTTGTTTACGACTCTATCCAAATCAAAAACATGCATATTAATATATGGATGCAGAAAGATGGAGATCAGCATTTGGAACGCTAGCGTAAAAAGAAAAAGAATGCTTTGGTGCTAATTCATATTTGCAAATGTAACGTGCTAAACCCTGCAAAGGATTTATGAGCGTCCCTTTTTTAAAAAGTTACTTTTATAAACCCGGATTAGTGGCGATTTCTGTGTTGGTATGCTATTAAATTGTGAATGCATTCTAAGATCGAGCTGGATTTTCCAACAGAAAGTCCATGGCACCTTTTCCTTTTTAATCTGTATCTCATTTCAACATTTTTTGCTTTCTACTCAAAAATCATGTGGTAATTTATTGGTTGTATGCTTATATCCATTGCTGTAGCTTGTGTATGCCGTGTATGGCATCTGTAGAATGTAGGCTTAAATAATAGTGTCGGTTGTAGCCATTCCACCTTAGTTGAGCCAGCTAAAAAAAATACAGATCAAGTAGTATAAAAAGAGCATAATGTCGCTGCTTTCCCCTTGCCACATTCAAACTAAATGCTCAGACACCCTCAATCTCTTTCTTTTTTTCGCGCAGCCTTACATTACCATTAATAATATACAATGAAGCCTTATGTCATCTGCACTGCCTCTGTTGCTGCACTGGCCTCGAGCACAGCATCTGCTACGCCTGTTGACAGTGCCAAAGTAGCTGCGCCATTCAATGCTAATCCTGTACATGCAGTGGCGTCATCAAATGCTATCTCTATATATTCAGCAGCTCCTGGCTTTGACACAAAGCTAGAAGCCTTTGCCTGAGATTATTATAGATATCGTCGCGACAACTTCCATCCACAAGGTCTGAACGCCCGTGCTTGGGGCTACTACAGAGCATAAAGTGTTAGCATAGTCAAAATTGGTAATATTTGCTAATAAATTCACAAATATAGTACTTTATAAAAAAGATATCTACGAGCTAGGTCGAAGCAGCAAAGCTAGCTAGACGTTAATTGGCAGAAATTATCGCAGTATCAACGCCAACGTCCTCGTCAGTTTCGATTCCCAAGTCTCCAAACAGATCCTTGATCTTGCCTGGATAACCTTCGGAAATAGTATCTGTAATATTCTTAAATATGCGCTTCCGTGATTTCCAGTGCTTGATCATTGTTGTATGCTCTGACTCAATTTTTGTCTTTTCTTCTGGAGAAATAACCTCACCTGACCGCAAATGCTCAAGCCTTTCACCATTCTCCTTTATCTACACAAACAAAATAACTCGTTTAGCATAGTATAATCGATATTGAAATATAAACTTTCCACAACAACTTAGCGCAGCCATACAAACAAAAGAAGATACGTACCTCTTTGATAAGCGTTGCAATACGTTCTCTCATCTGATCATCAGTCAAAGCGCTGTTCAGTCCATGTAACCGACCTGCTAAAACTTTGTTTTCAGACTTCAGACCGTTTAACTTCTCTTCTAGCTCTTTAATCGACTCTTCCTCTTCCTCTGCTTCTTCGATACTAGGCACTTCAATCTCGTCTTGGTTGGCAAAAAATATCAGTTGCTTTCCATTAGCTTTGCGCTGAATCCTTCCATCATCGGCTAGGTCAGTAAGAATCTTTTTTGCTTGCGTAGGAGAGACCTTTCCATGCAGCTGGCTGGAGATATCGTTTGCGCTATATGGGCGATTTGATTTGACAATATAGCTCAAAACAAGCTTTTCTACAATAGAAATAGAATAGTGCATGTATAGGCAGCATTTAGTTATAAAAGAGTGAAAAAAAGATCTGAAAAAGTTGCTTATTGTAGCAATAGAGTTGCAAGGAGCGCAAGGCTCTATTTTACCTTCTTCGCTAGAGGAACCCTTTGCTTTCTTTGCTGGCATTGTTATTATTTTTATTATTTTGTCTTTCTGGAATGCGAGTAAAGAAAAGAGAATTGCGCAAAAACAACTTACAATAGGAATGAAAAAATCAACAAAGCCAAAAAAGGATATTTAGAGGATGAGGAAGAGGAACAGAATAGTGCAAACATAAATCGAAAAAGGCAAACTGTTTTGTTGCTGCGCAAAAAAGCAATCTAAGCTTTATTTTGATCGCGATTAGAATTGCGGTAATTTGCAATCTGCATTTTCTTCATTTCCTTGTTCTCTTTTTGATGTAAGCTCAAGAGCAACAAGATCCAAAAAAATACTGAATGCGCCAACAACAGATATTCAATGCACTAATGAGTGCATATATCAGGCGGTTCAGGATGCAGCAACACTGTGAAATGCGAAAAAGAGGCTTGGATCAATTGGGGAACAGCTTCTTTTGTAGAGGAAAGAGAAAGAGCGTGTGTAAACGGGCTGACAAGCATGCAGTGGATAGATGGATGCATGGATAGGCAGCACAATAGCCACAGCAAAGCGACTACAGAAGCTGTGAGGTAAATTAGCTTGCGGTTGCTGGACCGGCGGCAATAATGAAGCAGAATCGTCGTGTGGAAGGGATCAGCCTGCCATGCGATATGCAAATTGGGGATCGGCGGCAGAAAGCAAAACATCTGGGAATAATAGAGCGAGCATGCAGCAGGTAAAGCCAAGCCAGCACATGGTTTTTTTCCAATGACGTTTCATGAAGCACCAGAAAGAGCGTGGAGATGGGAAATCAGGAATTACAGAATATAGAAGCAAGGGAGTGGGGAGGAGGCTGGGGGGCGCAAGGAAGAGCAAACAACATGTGTGGATCTATTTTGAGCACTGAGAAGCCGGCAGACACGGCAGACACGGCAGCATGCAGGAAAAGTGATGCTTGGGGCGAGAGAAAATGGTGTTTGGAAGATACAGACGGCTGCGCAGGTAAATAGAAAAAAGCACCGGCAGCAGAGAACAATGGGCAAGGACAGCATCGTCCACAGCCAAGTGGAGCGGGCCTGCAGCGGCATCGGGAATATAGGCAGACAGAAGCAGACGATAGCGACAATGGAGAGCGGAAATGGGAAAATAGAAACCGAAAACAACAAAGGCAGGCCAGGCCAGACAGGTCAAGAAGCGAAGAGGAGAGATGAGATGAGGTGGCGTGCGCAGCGAGACAGCATGGGGTATGCAGAGAGAGAGGCAGGCTGCTAGTGGTATTGGCTTTCCTTTGCACAAAGCAAAAAAGGAGCCGATGGCAGGAGAATATAAGCTTGCGGGCAAACGGAAAGGCAGACATGACATGACGTACATTATTTGTTCTTGACAGACATGTGTGTCGTTTGGGGAGAGTTGTTTTTGTACGGGCAAAGGCAGGACAGAAGAAGCAAAGGCGGCACGCGGCGTGACGGCAACTTCTCGGAACGCCAGCAACAAAAATAAAGCTTTTCTGCATTCTATATGACGAGCAGGTCTTTTTTATTGCAGGGCCAATAAAGCACAGCAGTGCTTTTCCTTTGTGCCCTTGCTTCCTGAATGAACACAATGCGAGCCCATCCCTCACACTCGCTTGCTCTCCCTCCTTTTGTCTGCCCTTGCAAATCAATGAAGGCTGCTGCCTCCTGCTGCTGCCTCCATCGGCTATTGCAATAATGAGCGTTGCTTGTTCTTGTTTTCGGCTCTTGCAGCAGGCTTCCAAAAATGGGGGAAATGTGTGCTGCTTGGCAGCCTTCTTTTGGCGCAGGACCTTTTCCCTCACCCATTCTAGCGCTCTCCTGCTGCATGTGCTGCGTCTGACATGCTAGGTGCCAGCCGTCCCATCCATAAAAGCAGACCTCACTGCCCCCGCTCTCTTCAATTATTGCTTTTGCTCACCAACGCAACCTATGCTCGCATTATCTATCATCTTCTCTGCTCGACATCATCTTTGTACACACAAATGGACATCTACAAGCTTATCACGCTTAACCAGCCATATGCCACATTTCCTCAGGCTCTCTACAAGTAAGTAAACCTCCAATCACTGCTATTTCCTCTGGCTATTGAATGTAGCTGCTAATACTCCCCTTTTTATTGTTGCTATTGTTGTCATTAGGATTTTGAGTGAAGGTCATCCCTGGATCGAGTGGAATAAGGACGGTACAAAAATCCGCTACAATGACCCAGATCGGCTTATGCGCGAGCTCCAAGCTCTAGGCTTCAAAGCCCAGGACTCGGCATCGCTGAGCAAGAACTTCAATGACTACGGCTTCAAGCGCCTTAGTGACGCTCGTAAGTCTCGTTATGATCCCTGGAGGAGCAACTGGACTGTCTTTGCCCACCAAAACTTTCTGCGCGAGCATCCCGAAAGTGCAAACGGCATCCAGCGCCGTCGCTCTCGCCGCCCCCGCTCCCAATCTAAAAAATCTTCGCCTTGCTCCGACGATAGTTCGTGGTAAATCATCCTTTCATCATCTATTCTATTGTACAGATCCCAAGCATATTTTTCCCATTTTTGTTCATCCCCTTGTTCATATTGTTCCTAAATAAAAATGATTTACATTTGCACACAATGTCAATGTCGCGTATGTGAAGAGAAGAAAGAATTATTGCATGTGGATTTGGGTCATGTAAATATATGCGATGCCCGTCATTCCGCATTCTCTCTCTTATCCTTTTATCAACCAAATATAAACAAGCATGATGAACATTTGCTCATGCAATACGTCAAAACTAATCAAATACATTTTGCTTACTCATTCTCTCACCCCTTTCCTTATTACAAGATAATATGGCATTATATGCAGTTACTCATCGTTACAAAACATCGGTTATAGATAGAAAACTAGATAAAAAAGAAAAAGTGCAAAAGTGCGACGACCGGGAATCGAACCCGGGACAGCGGCTTGGGAAGCCGCCGTTTTACCTCTAAACTATCGACGCAACAAGAAAGGAAAATTTACATTCCAGTTATTCAAAGTTTTACAAAAGCTACTCTGTAGTACGCATAATTAACAATTATAAAGCAGTCTTTTGCGAGTGTTCCAGAAACCAACCTAAGCGGCATCAAACGCACCGGAGATGCCATGTTCATCCAATGGAAATCTACTCTCATGAGCCGCATCGTTCACGACTTCAGCTACTCCTTTACAAGCAAAAAGAAGGCACATCTCTTCAAGAAATGCTGGCTGCATGTATCCAACCAGTGGTTCCAATTCGACCCGGGAGGCGAAGAGTTGAATGGAAAATTATTCTTCACCTCACTCCCATACGAAACCGATCACCGCCTCCACCATCTACGAGTCAACTATCAGCCAGACGATGTCGATACCTTCAACATCGGGCCTTCGCCTGCCACCGCAGAACCGGCCGCCCAACGCCGGGCATCTTCCGCATGGCCTCTCGCTAACTATTAAACTATGTCTGCTTAATTTCGTTATATTCATGCACAATATACTTCGCCATTTTGAGTGTTAAAAAATCCTTTGCGAGCGTTGTCTGCTGTATCCCTCTATATATTAGAAATAAAACAAGCTATTTTTATTCATTATCGTTCAGAAGAAATGTCTCAATCTGTTTGCGCAATGCCTCCTGCTTTGCATTGACAATATCGACCTTTGCATCACCAGGCCCTTTGCTTTTCAAAAAATGATCAACAGTAGCTCCGGGAAAAGTTGTGCCTGATGCAGCAGAGGTAAGTATGTTTTGGCATGAATAGCAAACAACATCTGTAATGTCAGCTCGAACCAAGCCATCTTCGTCAGATGGGACATCATTGCTGCCGTTGGATTGTATTGTTGGTTCAGCTTCAACAGCTAGTGGTTTACTCACTGTAAGCCGACTTCTCCATGCCTGCGCATCGTTCTCCACCGGCATACCGCATGTCAAGCATGGCAAAGAATTAAGCGCTTGCTTGCGTGGTTCAAGCTTTTGCATCGTTCGGCAAATCGTCGATACAGTCGAGGAAAAATCATGGTCCAAACCAATCACAAAAGATTCCGTTAAGCGGCCAATCGAAGCACGCTTTGGAGCGCCAGTAGTAAAAGTAGGAACCACAACACTGTTCTGCTTGGTCCACATATTGAAGAATGCAATCTCTTTCATAATAAAGTCGCGCATGGGGCGATAGACCACAACATTATCAAACCAAGAAGACTCTGCACCGACCTCGAATGGCAGAGAAAACCCACGTCCGCGGCTGGCCAACGAAACTATTTTCGTGGCAATGCGGGTTCCTGAATCTCCCATGAGTAGCACGCCACACTCGGCTTTACGAGCAAGCCTGATCAGCAAAAGCGTTTTGATAATGTCTAGCATTTCCTCGCGGTCGGTGGCCGATGCCAGGCTGGAAAAAAGCGACTGTAAACGTTTTTTGCTCGAGATAGAGTCGTTTGTTTTGACTAAATGAGCACATATCTTGTCCTTCAGTGCGCCTGGAGCAAGGGTTGATTGGACTAGCTTTATAAACAATGGCGCCTCATCATTAGTAGCAAAGACATCCTCTAATTTGGTAATCCTGCATTCAATGCTAAGGCTTATTGCAATTTCAGAAATAAGGCTGTCTTGAACATCTGGGAAAAGTACCGATTCATCGACATGCCCAGCAATTATATCCTCATAGCGCGATTGGGCTTCAGTTCCTCTTAATTCCATGCGCTGAAAGTCGGCCATAAGGTTGAGCATGGCACTTGATGATGGACCACCAGAAAGCGCAACCATTAGCTTTGTTCGCGGAACCGTGGTATTCTTGCGTGAGCGGCTCAGTGCAGTACGAAATTTGACTACACAAGTGCGCACGAAACAGGCTTTGCAGTAGAGCGATCGACGAATTGTAACATTGGGCTTTATAACTTTGCACTTGATACACATCCCGGGCACTCGTTTGCGCTCATACTGACTTGGCTCAACTGTAGCTTTTGGTGATACCCTTTGCGTTTCAAGGCTTGCTTCGGTGGTTTTGTCACACATAACAGTTACGATTTATATATATATATCTGTATAGATTCTAAAGAACAACAAACACAACAACAGCGATAGACAATTGCAAAAATAAGTAAAAAGGAAATTTGAAAATTATATTTATAAACACAAGCCAATTTCGCTGTATATGGGTAACAATAGCTTTATCCACGTGCTTATAAGCTGAATGGTTGTGAGTCATCGTTGAGCTAGGCTAGATAGTGTTTTATTGGTTATATTAGTCATATAACACCATTAAGAAAGCTAAAAGATGGAAAAGAAACAAAGTCTCGCTTTTATCTCTTCTGTTCTTGCTTTTTGTTTTATTGGTCGTTTCGCCTACTTTCCATTCTAAAGCCAGTTCTTTATTGCCTCACTTCTTTTCTAGTCGGTAAAACTGCTTTTGATTCTAGCATGCCTATTTCATCGGGATTTGATATTAAGCGTATAATTCGCCCGAATATCCTAAAGCTCGAGCCCTATCGCTGCGCTCGCGATGACTACAGCGAGGGAATTCTTCTGGATGCCAACGAGAACAGCTATGGCCCTGTATTTCAAATAAGCATATCAGAAGTTGGTGCTGGTTGTGGACAGCTAAAGTTCGAGTCACAGGCGGACAGCCGCCAGTTGCACAGATATCCTGATCCCCTTGGGCGCGAGGTCAAGCAAAGGATTCTGAAGATGCGTCCCAGCATTCCAGGAATAGAAAATATTTTTCTGGGTGTCGGGAGTGATGAGGTCATTGATATGCTTGTGCGCATCATTTGCCAGCCGGGCAAGGATGCAGTTATGGTTACGCCGCCGACGTACGGCATGTATAAGGTTGTGGCCAGCATCAACGATGTTGATGTGGTTAAAGTGCCACTGATCGTCGAAGGCGGGTCGTTCCAGCTTGACGTAGACGCAATGATCGAAGCAGCACTAGGAAATCCAGCCATCAAAATAATCTGGCTATGCTCGCCAGGCAATCCAACCGGAACATACCTGAGAGAGGAAGACATACGCAGGGTTTTGGATAGTGGATTTACTGGACTGGTAGTAGTGGATGAGGCCTATGTTGACTTTGTGCACACAGATAAGGGCGAATCGTATGCAAAGCTGGTGAGCGAGTATCCAGGGCTGTTTGTAATACAGACAATGAGCAAAAGTTTTGGACTTGCAGGCATCCGGCTTGGCGTGGGAATTGGCAGCAGCGAGCTCGTTGGGTATCTGAACAACGCCAAGGCGCCGTACAGCGTTTCTACGCTGTCGCTTGACGTGGCCAAGGCAGCGCTGTCGGACGAAAACGTGGAGAAGATGCGCCGTGTGGCAGCAAGCATTGTGGATCAGCGAGACATGTATTTGATTCCAGAATTAATGCGGCTTCCGCATGTCAGTCGTATTATTGGTGGCAACGATGCCAACTTTGTGCTCTGCCGCTTTGTTGACAGCGATGGAAACATATCAAACAAAATTGCCAAAGACTTGTATCGCGAAATGGCGGAGAACCAGGGGCTCGTTGTTCGGTACCGCGGATCTGACTATGGATGCGAGGGATGTCTGCGTATAACTATTGGAACGGCTGAGGAAAACAAAGCGGTGGTTGACACGATGCGCAAGCTGCTAAGCGAAATTCCATGAGTGCAGGAGGGAGCACCATCCTCGGTTTTATTTTCTCTATTTATACTTGTGCAGCCTGAAGCTCTTTCGATTACTGTTGTTGTCAGCACAGCATGCGGCTCTTTATATATTGAGTTTAGCCAAACAAATACAAATGATCCAACCAGAAGCCTCATTCATATTGCCATTTATGCATACATACATTATGTACCACAGTCATTGCGAATGTATTAAACAGAAATATAGAGGGTAATTATTATATGCACGGACACACTATGGTGAAAAGTAAGCGCAGGTATGCTGACATACTGCACTGTACAAAACAATGCGCGTACCCAAAAATGAGATTGCGGATCTAAAGATACCAAGGGAGCGACAGGGGCTAGGCAGGTTGCGTTGCAAAGAAAGCACGGTTTACGGCAGCGTGGCGAGTCGTTTGCGCAGCATTTGCGTCAGCGCAAAAAAGAAAGTCAATGAGGATCACAAAAGAATTAGCAGTTGGTTAGTAGTTGGGATTGCATGAAACAAGCAGCTAGTTGCCAGCATACAGTTTTTTGTCGCAATGGGAAATACAGGCAAATTGTAAGTGTTTTTTCATTGTCTACTAAGGTACATGTATCCTGTCTGAGCGCAAACCAACCCACATATAGCGCAAACCAACCCATATCCACCGCAAACCACTTTCCTTGCAACACAGTCTGACTGACTTTCATCGCACCCTTGATATCTTTAGACGTGCAAACTTCTTTTTGGGTATGCGCATTTAGTTTTGCAAGACACAGTACGCAACTTTTTACTAGTAAGCTGTACTCGACTTGCCATGGTTTATTCTGAAAGAAAGACGAAAAAGGCAAATCCAACAGACGAGAAAAGGGCGGAAAAGTGAGCCACGTGCCATGTGTTGATCACGGGAGGGAACGACGCCTATTCTTTTATTTATTCACTACTTATATTACCTACTTTCTCTTGGATATTTGCATTTTGTAGTCAGTCGTTTTCTACACCACAACGCAGCAGCAGGCAACATAAGAAGCCTCAACAGCCAGACAAACAGGCATAATTGATTGTCAGAAAACGACTACCCAGTGTTCGTGTGCCTCTCCCTCCCCTCCTCCGTTCTTTCGACGCACGAAACAGGTGGCAGCAGCAAATGTGGTTTAAATAAGGGGGCAGAGGAGAATTAAGTAGTGTACTTACTGCTTGGTGGCATGAGCAAAGGACAAATGAACCGACTTTCTCTTTCTTTTCTTCTCTACTTTGTCCACGCTATATATATCATATTTTGTACTTTATCTTTTGCAACAGCTCGCTAAAAATATTGTTTCTCTAACACTACAAGGCAAGTATCACTCTGCTGCGCATATAGGACTTTATGATCCATACAC